GCACCCCAGCGCGCCGGCAGCGCTCAAAGGGCTCGCAGTGAAGTATGCCATACCGAAAAGAATGTGGAAGTTCGGGATACAGTCCTTTCTCGATGTCATGGTTAAACGACATGTCGAATGCGGGGATCATATGGCGAGTTTCATCATCCTGGCATACCAAATGGTGTCTTTGCTGGATGAGTCTGTCCCGCGCTTCTATGACATCTGGATCGAATGCAAAGCGGATTTGGCCCGATACGGGTAAGTAGAGGCGTTGCCCCTTCCAGGCCTAATATACGATAGACAGATGTGATGACGAAGACTGACACTTGCTATGTAGAATGGCCACTCAAAGCAATGACGAGGGGGCTTGTCAGCGCTGGCACGACATCGCCAAAGAGGAGTTCACTCGAGCACACAGCAAGAATCCCACGACCGGCCGCATCTACCACCACCTCGCCGTCGTGGCGTGGCCCCGGACTCGGGTTTCGCGTGACAAAGCATTCGAAGCCTCTGTGTCCCAGTTTTTCTACTACACCAAGGCCCTCGTCGTCAAAGTCCCGTTTTTCCCTGCGCGGCAGTCCGTATTGTTCCTTATTAAAACGATTGTTGCCCGGAATGAGACGGATGCCGAGAAGCCGGCCAGCCGCCCCCAGACAGACAAAGACCACTTCCTTACCGCTGTTTCCCACCTGATTCTCGCTTCTCTGGAGCCCGAGACTCTCAGGAAAAATGGCTACAAGGACCGGAGAAGCGACCATGTTCAGGCTGTCTATGCGGCACTGGAGAAGATCAAGATTGGTGCAGCATCTTCCAAGACATCCAGAATTCGTCCAAGGTACGTGCTGGTCCCCTGTGGGATGATGAGTTACTCCCCATATCTAACTGATCATCACTTTGCAGCCCCCAACTCGGCCTCCTGCTCTGCCATCTGCTTCTGGGAATTCCCCTTGTTGATAAAAGATGGAGCCCTATGATGGCGGCGTGGGCCCCTGACCTTGTGACGGCCGCAGACCGCGCCGATTCTGACGCCATGGCCAACGCAAGGGACATCCATGAGGTAACGATCGAGCTGATCCGCACCATGGTCCCTTACCTCTTGGAGGAGGCAGATACGCGTGACCTCAGGCTGTGGGGGTTCATATATGTCATGCTGGTCTTTATGCGCTCCCTGAAGACGCGGCCCGACCTTCTGGAATGGTTCGGCTCGGCGTTCCAAGCGCAGCTGCTGGCGCCTTTCCTCAACATGCTTCTGCGCGAGGACGAGGCCCGAGGCGCCGTTGCCTGGAACAGCGCGTTCCAGTCATCGGAACTCGTTACAATATGCTCGTTGCTCAACGAGAAGAAGAAGCTGGACAAGTACGGGCTCAGTACCGAAGACAGCCGCAGGAAGTACTTATGCGAGCAAGAGGAGCAACGAAAGGCAGAGCTTAGCAAGGCCAAGGGCGAAGCTAAAGACGCGACGGCCAGTGATACGGCGCACGAGAAAGACCTGGACACCGAGACACCAGATTGGGAGCTGATGTACGCCAACACACTCCCGGAACATAGTCTGCTTGCGGGGCACTTCTTTGCCAGAGAGGCTGAGCCTGAACCCTGTGACAAATCCGTGGAGAAACCTGCCGGGGACGCCGCCGCCCCTGATGCCACCCCAGCGGCGGCTGTGCAGACCGCCAAAGAAGCCGAAGAGGCAGAAGTGCGGAGGCAGGAAGGGCTGCGTCGTGATCCCCCTCTCTTCCCCCACGGCTGGCTCGAGAGGTCGAAATACGACTACGGCGAGATACAGGTTCGCAGCAACTATGTCCAGGACGCCGAGTCGTATGACGCTCGGTCGATTCAGCTTTTGCGCCTGGCTGCTCAGCTGAACGACTACTTCTTTGTCTTCGGGACCGACAACGAGGGACGCTATTGGATCAGCGTGCCTGGGGCCTCGTCCGTACCGATGCCTGACCCCAACAAGAAGATGCCGGAAATCGTCGAGCGCGACGGCGGCGTCAGAGTTGTTTATGTCCATCCTTCCTTCCTCACTGCCGAAATGAAGATGGAGAAGAAGAGAGCAGCAAGGGAAGAGAAGAGGCAGAAAGAGAAGGAGAGGCAGAAAGAGGAGGAGAGACAGAAGGAAGACGAAGCCAAGGCTACTACGGATGTGGCTACAGATGTCAACAAGAAGGCCGAGGGCGACGTCGAAGAGGCACCAGAAGCCGTCAACGTCCCGGCCGTGGCACCCAACACCACGGCATCAGAGGACGGCGATCATGATCATGAGCCGAGCTCGGCTTATGAAATGGATCTGGACAAGACCATCGGTCTCGGAAAGACCACCGTGGCTGCCGAGCCTACCGAGGCGGAGCCCACCGAAGCCAAGCCGGAGACAACGCTTCCAATGCGTACGAAGGGCAACGACGCAGGTCCTGACGCCGCCGCAGCCAGGGTTCCGCTGAACGAGGGCGTGCTCGACAATATGCCGAGGATGGAGAATCCTGTCAAGGCTATCAAGCGCTGGAGAGCTTCGAGCAAGGAACCTGGCGCGGAGGACGAGGACGAGGACAAGGATGAGGAAGAGTGGGAACGCCTCAGCAATGAAAGTCACGGAGATGCCAAGGTTGAAACGAGGTCTATGTTTTCGCGTTTCTTCTTCGGGTGATGGGGATGAACAGAGACCAGATTGCAATGCAAGCAGAGATGCAATGGGGGCATACACTTGGACGTTGGACGTTGGGTAGGGAAGACGAGCTGAGTCACTCCAGATTGTCCTAAATAGTGACCAGAGATACTTGGGGAAGGTTGGAGGGGGAAAGGGGGGAAGGGGGAACCATACACTCGCTTCATCCAGGACTTTCTACAAAGTCCAAAGGGCCTATCGGATAGTACGACATCGTTTCTTTTAGGTCTTACTCTTACTCTTTCCTTTAATCATTGTTTTTTTTCTCCCCTTCTCTTTTTTGCCATTTTCTCTTCTTCTTTGTTCGTTTTTTCCCCCTCTTTTCTCGTTCTTTTTTCCTCATCCTTACGTCCCTTTAGTTTCCCTTGCGCAGAAGGTAAAGTATGAAGGAGAGCCTAGCCAGGCCTTGGAAAAAACCTGCGACTGACTGACTGGCACCCAGCCGAGAAAAAGTCAAGACCTCTTAGAGATCTAGATGGAATAGCTTCTTCCGCTAGCGAGCGAGTGCCTCGACGTTGGGGTTCTTCTAACTGAATGGCCAGGTAGGGTACTTCTTGAACCGTAGATGGCAAGAGAACGGCGAGACGGCATGACGGCGTTGTCTACCAGTCAAGACAATATGCTACTAATAAGTAAGTAGGTCACACTGTGTGTGTGTGTGTGTGTGTGTGTGGCCAAGGCAATTCCCGAGCCATTAAACAACAGAGAGAGGTCTAGCTTAGACTTTGATTCTTTAGAAGAAAAAAAAGGATAACTTGACATTCTACCATGTTAAGCAAACAAGAATCCCATAACTTTCCTCTCTCTCTCTCCTTCTATACTAACTTATAAAGCCTTATTTATATCTGATATAATAGAGTCTCGTAATATATTAATTAGTTTTCTATATTAATTTTTAGTATATTTAGTCCATTTTATTAGATATTATTTATTAAAAACCTCTTTCTCTTTATATATTACTTTTAAAGATATTTTAGAATCGCTTTTTACTTTTGATATTCTTTATTATTTTTGTTAATTATTATTATTAGCGTAAATTAACTATTATCTACTCTTTATAAGTTAAGATAGTTTTATTTGATATTATATAGAGGAGGAGGTCTAAGTAGAAGATATCATAAATACTTAATAATATAGTATTTAAATAGTAACTATGGGTGTGATGATGGGTTAAACCCAGGAGAAGGGCTCGGTTCTGACGAACTAGCGCTAAGACTAACGTTAGGACCAACGCCACCTCCTGATTAGACGGCGAGGTACGTACGGTATAAGGGATACTAAATCCTAGTAAATTAAGATACCGTAAGTAAGGGAAGGTAAGGAAGAGAGATAAGGGTAAAGGGAAACGTAAGGCGTATACGGAAGAGGAAGGATAAGGGAGAAAGAGGAAGACATTACGTACCTCTTACGGAGGAGCGTACGATATAAGGAGAAGAGGGAGAGGATGTTATTCCTTCTTCTCTCTCCTTAGATTTATCCTCCTTATTACTAGGTTAGCTAGCTAGCTAGTTATAGAACTCTTTCTAAACCCTTATAGTTCGAAGCCCCTTAATGTCGAACGATCTATCACGAAGAACTTTGTATGCAGGTGGTGTAACGAGAGATCGCGAGTTCTACTAGGTATTTTATATGCCGGGGTCGGTCAGTCGAACGGTCCGTCGTCGTTCTTCGAAAATATCACATACTTATGAAATGGTTTACAACTCTTCCTACTGGAGATAGCAAGCAGACTACGTCTACTTTTTTTTTTTTCTCCTGTAGATTCGTTTCTTTGGAGACTTTGATCGCCTTAATGAAGCCCTAAACCACCTGTTCTTACTTGGTTCACTGACTAACTTGATTATTATATATCGTCGAGTCGCAGCGCTGCCGGTTGCGGCTGCTGTAATGAGGTTGGTTGCTCCAGGGGTGTGACACACCATCTGTAGACAGACAGACCATCTGAGATGCCAACAACACTAGGAGTGTAAAAAAAACCTTTGCGTGGAGAGTGAGTGGGTGGTAGGACTGCGTAGGTAGTTACTTGGGCTTGCTTCTCTTATCAGTCACTGGGCCGTCCGTCTTCGATAAACTGTGTCGTAGAGTTACTGCAGACCAGAACTCTTCTGCTAGGCAGCCTGCCTGCCCCCATGAACTGGTATCATCAACATATCGAAACGTTGTATCGTAGGATATTGCATCGCGGTCACCAAAAGTCTTTCATAGGAGAGGAAGAGGATGAAACGAGAAACAGAAAGAAAGGATACAAGAAGAGCACGGAAAGCCGAATACGAAAGAAAACATCCCCGTCTCGTCTTCGTTCCTGGAACACACTCGAGCGGTTTACCCCAGGACCACCAGCGGCGTCATCCCTCCAGTCCTAGTCCTCCTTCTCCTTTTCCGAGTCTGCTGACGACAACTCCGCGCCGGGGCCGTCCACGCGTTGGTGGAGGCCGAGGTTCAGGGCCTTTCTGATCTCCTCGTCGTCCACGGCGTGGTCAGGGTCCCCGGCCAGGAGCTTCTCGGCGCAGACGTGGTACAGGGCCAGGCGCGTGGCGTGCTGGGTGCGGGTCGCGCCGGCGCTGCCGCTGCTCTCCATCACGTAGTCGACGACCGCGCCGACGGCCTCGACTGCCTTCTGCATCGCCGCCTCCAAGAGGTCCAGGTCCGTCTCTCGCCTCTGGACGGGCGGATTGCGGGCATCTTGGAGACCCCCCGCGGCCGCCTGCTCCTGCGCCGCGGCCGCCGGATCTGCCGAAGAAACGGCCCCTACTTGCTCGGCGGCACGCTCGTCGGCCGTCTGCCCGAAGGCGGCTCGAAGCTGCTCCTCGGTCACGTCGGGGACGTCGACGTGCATAAAGAGCTCCTTCAGGCGTTTGCTGAAGCCGTACACGCCTACGACCGATTCCTCGGCGTCGCTGACAAACATGGGTGCGTGCGCGGCGTTCTCCAATCCGTGGTTCTCGGCCTCGTGGTTTTGTTTCGTGTTGAAAAATTGATAGAGGAGGCGATCGAGGAAGCCTCCCTCACTTGCATACTGTGTGGTGAGGCAGTTGAAGACGACGATGGCGTTGCGCGTCCCCGTGTTTCGCAGTCCGTCAATTACCGGACCCTGAACGTCTACGTTGCTCTGCTGGCGCAAAGCCCGGTCTGCTGTACTCTCCGGGACGAATGTCCTGCCCTGCCTTAGGTCTTTGAGGATCACAGTATGGAGAATACGAATCTCCGGAGCCTGGATCGTGCGAGCCAGGCCGTTGATAAACTGCTCAGCGGCCCGGGCTGAACTTCCGTGCACCATAAATTGAGGTCGGTGATCCTGGTGCGGGCCTATCAGCGACGCGATCATGAGGTAGTTCCGCACAAGGCGCGCAAAAAAGCGAGCCGGGTCCGTGAGCGCGGCCGAGAAGGCGGCGAAGGCTTCAGGATCGTACGTCTCGTGGTAGTTTTGGTACCGCCGAGGCTGGCCGAGCCACATCCCCTGGCGGATGTAAAGCATTCGGTAGAGCATGGCCAAGGAGTCCGACGTGACCTTCGACCCCCCTTTGACGCGTTCGAGCATTTGCAGAAACTCCTGGTCGAGCCTCTCCACGCTGACTCGGACCTGGTGTGGCATCTTGGCCATGACGTCGGACGATGCTAACTGAATCTTGTCAAAGACTGCCTCGACCTTGCCGAGCGCGTCTGCGGATGGGAGTATGATGTTGTACAGTATCACATCGACGACTTTGTTCAGAGACGGCTCAACTTTCATGGCCGCATTGGCGACTAGAAAGCTGCGGGCGTTCTCATCCTCCTCCATGGACATGTGCACCATCTTTAAAGTCAGGACCGCCGCCGTTATAGACAGGGAGCACTGGAACAAGGCCTTCCAGACAGCTATCCATCGTTTGCCTGGACTCGCATGGTCCGTGGTCCGCATCACAGCTTCGAGGTGCTGGGTGTTTGTCTGGGCCGGATGATCCGTGTCGTATGGCAGCCGCGGTATTTTCTGGTGCGAAAAAAAGCTATTAGAATGGGGGGAGTTGGGTGAGAGGAGCTGCTAAGCTTGACCGAGCAGAGAGGCAAAGAGGGGGAAGAACCAACCTCTTTGGCCATTTGATCCAGCTTGGTAAACGGCTCTGAGATCAGGTCTATCTGATCCCATACACCTGTGAGGTCAACCGCCGAACGGTAGTCCTCCAGCAGTTGTGAGAGTTGTCTAGACATGTTGGCGCGGGACTCGGGCAGCGTCGTGCAAACTCCTGAATATGGGGTATGAGGAAGAAGTCGAGCAAAGAAGAGAGAGAAATGATCCGAGAACAACGCTGGACCGTAAGACAAGTTCGAGGGGGCTGGAAAAAGGGGACACACCAAGGCTCCTTCCAGCCCCCAGCGGGGTCTAAGCAGTAGTGGAGGAACACCTGGCGAGTTGCGATGCAGGGGCCTATCGGACAGCACAAATAGAGCAAACGGCCCCGAATGAAACTTGTTCACACGATCAGCGAGTCAGCGAGGCCACGTCACTCGGTCTTTCTGTGTTCCGACAAACATCTTGGCGCGTCCGGCGCTCGTAAAATTAAACAATTCAGGCGGCAACTGCGACTACTTCTACGTGAACCTCGCTGCTTTAGTGTGCCACTCCCTTTCCTCCACGCCGTGACACTGAGATTGTTTTGGCCGGGGGTGTCTTCTTCTTGTCCACCGAGGCATGAGCTCTCGCCTACATCTGGTCTCACTGAAAGTCCCCGTTCCACAAAATCTCATGTATAAAAATTCTAACGCCATCCACTTTATTTTTGTTTCCCTCAACACCTTTCCAACTTTTTATCTTTTCTCTCACACCCAGATTCAAACCCATCCTCCGGTACTTCAAGATGATGTCCACTCGCCTTGAAGGGCTTGCCGCCGTTTGCGAAGCCGGAAATGTTTCTCTTTTCCCCGAGGACTCAGTAGATGCAGCCGTCGATGCCGTTGTCAAAGAGGCCGTGGCTCATATCAGCGGAAAAAAGGCCGAGCCTCTCGACATTGACGCCAACAACCCATCCGAGCATAATCTGGCACACCTCGCTGCCGTACGTCAGAAGACCACCCAGGCCAGCACGGAGCAACGCGTCCAGGCGGCGTGGCAGGATGTCATCGGCACCGTGGTCGCCGTCATGGCCGCCGCCGCCAGCCAGTCCGTGGCCCAGAGTCTCTTCCCCGGCGCCACCAAGGCCAAGACGTCCGAGTCCGAGACCGCTCTGATGAGCGGAGGTGGTGGCGCCTTTCTTCGTTTCGGGCTCGCAAACACCCTGCAGCCCAGCATCCAGAAGCTCGTGCGGACCGTCGTCGAGGGCGTTTTCGGACGCTCCTCCGACAGCCTCGACGTTGCCGAGAACGTCTATCGCAGCGTGAAGAAGGCATCCGAGGGCGTTGTGAAGAGCCGCTCCAGGAATATCCAGAAGGCCGTCGCGAACGTCGACGAGATGTTCGAGTACGGGGTGCGGGCGCTGCGTGCCGGGCTCACCACCGAGGACGCGACGACCGTCCTGGACCTGTACTTCCTCCTCAAGGTCCGCCAGGGCGTGCTGCTCGGGCAGCCCCAAAAGTGTCAGAACTACTACGAGACGTACATTGCCGAGGAATTTCAGACGCTGATGGACCGAGAGCCCGAGGTGGCAAAGCTGCCCCTCCAGGCGATGCGCAACCAGATCATCGCGTCGTCCATCCGGGGCAAGGGGAATATCGACCGTCTGCAGATGGCGTTCTACGGCGCGTCGGGGACGGGCAAATCGAGTCTGGCCGAGGCTCTGATCCGGTGCTTCCAGGCCCCGAACGTGTACGTCGACTGCGAGCAGCTCGCGCCGAGCGACATCCGGGGAGTGAGCAGCGCGGCGAGCACGAGCGTGGTCAAGATTCCTGGCATGGCCGACGAGATGGACATACAGGGCAAGATCATCGACCCTCTCCGTCGGCAGGGCAAGAAGAACGCCTTTCTTATCCTCGACGAGTTCTCGGCCGGCGAGCTCCGGGCGGACTTCGTCCAGGAGCGCGTGTTCCGTCTGTTCTTCGACCAGGACCGCCAGGTTGGCAAACACAAGGCCCTCGAGCAGCTCGACCAGGTCGTCATCATCATCATCACCAATGACGACCCCGGCGACTTTAGCCAGGCCATGCGCGGCCGCTTCGTGTGGGTCGTGAAGCCGGCCCTGCCCAAGGATAGCATCCGGGACGCGTACCAGAACGTCCTGGACAAGACCCTCTCGCAGGTGCGCAGGGTGCTCATGCCGGGCGACGACGACGATGACGATGACGACGGAGACGACGCGCCCGAGGATCGCGCCCCCGTGCCACAGCGCACGCTGGACCCCGTCGTGGCGGTGCAGACGATGGCGGCGGCGGTCGACGAGGTCCGCAAGTACGAGGCGACGATGGTCGAGGCCAACACGAGCGCGGGCGCGCGAGACATTATCAAGGCCACCAACTGGCTCATCAACTACATCTGGGTGGAGAAGCTGCTCGCGGGGGACGCCGCCTACCAGGTCCCCGAAGACCAGATCCGCGGGAACCTAAAGATCTTCTTCGAGCTCACAAACGAGGAGGAGGACGACACGAAGACGGGAGAGGACGGTCGAGAGCAGAGCGAAGTGGGGAGCGAAGAGCACAGCGAAGAGAAAGGCGGGGCAGCGCTATAGAGCGAACAATCGAGCCAGGTAAAAGAGAGTTTCCCTAACTAGTTAGTATACTTGGAACAAAGTAAGGATATTCAGAGTGGTATCGCCGTTGATATACTATATCTCCTTCCGAATTATATCGTTTGTAGATAGTCCTTCAATTGTCAGTGTTAATTTGGCGAGTCTCAAGGCTTTCTCGTATACTCTATAGCTATAGCCAGAGTAGCTAAAGCATCGAGGGTAAGTTGAGTAGAGTGTAGGTAAAGCCAGTAGCCGCCGACAAGGCTAGCTATTGCTTTTTTTCCTCGAATGGCTAAGTCAGCGACCGCTTCAACTGGTCGGAAAAAATAAAAGCAGGGCGCTAGCACCGCGATACATGCCCCCAAGCCACTGTGGTCTGAGAACAGAAGGACCCCTTACTCGGCTTGCTTGGGCGGGATGCAGCGCTGGCAATTGGCCTCTGCACACGGGGTAATGTAGTCGCCAATCGCATGCCGGTGACAGTAGAAGGACGCAAGCCGAGTAAAGGATGAGTCAGAGCGGGAGAACAAGATGGGTGGCACACGTAAGACTACACACCTCTCCTTCGGTATATTACGTGAGAAAAGGGGGCTCGACGATATTAGTTGCGTAGTATGAGGAAAGGTAAGGCTACGCGTGCATGAGCTGTCAACGGAGATAATCATGCCTCGTGAAACGCTCGGAGGCGCTACACGTACCAACTTTAGTGAATCCTTGTCATCCCGAGAAAAGACTTGACTCACGCTAAAACCGAGGGCTGGACTAGTTCTTACTCCTGGCGTTACTCTCTTAGGGCTCCGCACTCTCGCCGAATTATAGAAGACTGAGGCTCTTATCGTAAATAGCCTAGGGAGCTAAAGTAAACCGTACGAGAGGAGTATACTACTTAAAGTAGAGAAGTATACTCCTATATAGCCTTTAGTAAAAAGAAGTTAAAAGACTACTTAGAAAGATACTAAGCTAGATAAGCCTAAACTACTTTTATTTATCTATAAACTAGGGAAGAAAAGTATACTTCTTATACCTTAAGAAGTATCCTTTTTTTATACTTTAAGTCTTATTATTACTATATATAAAGAAATACTTATTATTATAGAATCGATCTTTTTATTTACTACTACCGATCTCTAATAAGATATTCTTAATATTCTTAAAGTATCTTTTAAGATTAGATAGATTAATAATAAAAAGGAGATATAATAGCTTCTTATATATAATCTATAGATAAGTGAAGTACTATCCTAGAGTAGAGCTAGCGAGACTAAACTAACGAAGATCGCGTTAAAGAGGTAGAAGAAGATCAATGTTCCCTTTTATAGGAAGTAACTGTTACGACCTGGCCAGAAGAGAGACCCGAGGAGGGGCTGGACGACAGGTCGTGAGAGACCTAAAAGTAAAGCGTGCAAAGATACTAAGGAGGGGCTACGTCTAAAGGGGGCACCGGACTGTTTACTCTGTCGTGGACTGAGGTAGAGTAATACAGAGCACTGCGGAGTAAGGGGTGTTAGACTGTGTACTCTACAGGGGACTGTAGTAGAGCAGTACAGATCCTCATAGAGCATCTACTTCTATATAGTCGAGACAGTTTTCATAGTTTTCCTTCGTAGTCAACTGCGTTCATAAATAATCGAGTTCCTACGGTTATATGCTTTACGTATAGTCCCGCGTACTATACTCTTAGTTTCGTCTCTACTACACCATTCTATTACTATAACACTAAGTAAACCACTTCAGTTTTACTACTGACACCTCACGTGTAAAGCATCTCGTAATAGTAACTAACTTATAGATAGACCTTATTACTCTTAATATATAAGAGGTAGAGTTATTAAGTTAATATAAAGAGGCTAAAAGGAAAATCATTAATAAATATTAAAGAGACGAACTTAATGTAATAAAGGATAAACTTAAAGAGAGAGAACTAGTTAAATTCATAGAAGTTATAGATGTAATATTTTTAAATTATAAGTAATTTCTTAACTCTTTCAATTTCAGAAGACTTAGGTGTTTTAAAGTATATTTAACTTATATTATTATTAAGGTTTAATAGAAGGTTAATAGAAAGCCTTTATAGATATAATCTTAAATAGGAAAAGCTCTTATAGATAATACTAGAAGCTATTAAAAACAAGTGTATATAATATATACTACTTATAGTTACCTTTCTAGAGCATACAGCAGATAATACTTAAATATATCTATATAAAGAATTCTAGACTTAACGTAAATATATTATATTTCTTAAGGAAGTTATTATAGATCTTTTAATTTATAAGAGTAAAGTACTTCTTAAACTTATATTAATAAAGTAATAGCTTAATTAATCAATAACAGATCTATTATACTGCTATAGATATCGCTAAATATAATACTATCTTTAGATTCCTCTATTATAAGAAGGTAAATTTTAATATAAATTAAAGTATTAATATATAGAAGTTCAAACTTAGAGGTAAAAGACTTATAAAAGATAGGTTAATTATCAATATTAGTTATGAAGTCTATTATTAATATACTTCAGAGTTATATATAATCTATAAGTATAATATTAATAAATATTAAACCTTAGAAGGTTAAGCTCTTTTAATACTTATAAGATCCTGCAAGATTCTTCATAGAGTCTAACTTTAAGGTATTTAAAGATAAGATCTTTATGTAAATACTTAATCTCTATTAAGAAAAGTAACACTATCTTATATAGACCTCTTACTTATCGGGCGATGGAACTGGGAAAGGAGGCATCCATAGGATCGAGAAACAACATAGGAGCTGTAGTGAGGACATCTTGTCAGTTCAGTTTCTCCCGTTGTAAGAGTCACATTAGCTTCCTTCTTGCCAGACAAAGCCAAGGAAGAAAAGCCTAAGACACAGAAAGATGCACACCATGCTCCCGGACGGATGCTGGGACTGTGGTTCATTTTTTGAGTTCAACCGCAGCCACCGAAATTGCCATCAATGAGAAGAGCAATATTGGTCGTTGCGATGTCCAAAGCGACTTGTACAGCCTTGGTGGATGATTGAGACGGGGCATCGGAAAAGTTCGCACCGCATGTCCAAGTAGACGCGGCGTCCACCCGAAGATGGCGAGGATGAAAAGCTCCCACTTGGAAGATTTCCTCACCGATTGTCCTGCGCCTCAAGGGCCAGACTGCCCTCGAAATGTCTCCACCTCGTCTTCAGTACAGGCGGCAAGTCCCAAAGGCCCCTTCAGATTGAATAACACTGCGGCACCCTGGCCTCCATCGTGTGCCCTCCCCAATGAGCATGCACGCATGTGAATCGAGATCCTCAGGACTCTCCACACTACAGGGCACTGGGGCCACCGTAAACAACACAGAAGCCCGTAGATTGATGTCGAGATACCAAACTCCTGGCGCGTGGCGTTGAATGAGCGCCAATATGCATCTGGATTGAAACAGATCCTGATCAACTATTAATAACCAAAGCCTGAAGTGAAAATATGACCGGTCCAGGGCAAGACCCGAAATATCAGCCTCTATACCAAGTGTTGTAGTGGCCTGGGGGTCTGGAGATCGGATAACCAGTGCCTGATGGGCAGGGACCAAGTTATCGGCAAGACCTCCGCTTCTTCTGTTGCTGTGGATGCCCTGGCGTCTACTGTTGAGGCGACGAGCCAGATTATTTTTCGTACGGTCCGCACCCTCACCGAAGTCCAAGCTCAACGCGGACGTACCCGAAGCGTATGCACAGCGCATTACTTGATTTTTTCTAGGCAGCATCTCTCTTCCTGCTTGGCCTGACAATACCCCTGTCGACCCTCGGAGGGACTCGCCCAATGGGGACCCCGACTTGATGTCTGAGGACGACGAAAGCGAGTGATAGGATGTCCTGTGTGCGTTGTGGATGCGTTCTGCCTGCACTTCGTGCGCGTTTGCAAGAGTTGTGGTGGTGGTTTTGCCGCCAACTTCATTGTTTTGACCTCGCGATCTCCTGAATTCTTCCATTGCCTCTGGTCCGTGCGTGATGTGCTCTGCTGGTTCCCGTGTGTCGCCTTCTTCGACGTCGCCTTTCCAGAGACACTCATGAACAGTAATGCACCGCGAGTAGCATGTGCCCGCATAGGGGTGCGCGAACAATGAGCTTTGTTCTTCATATGTTCCATGAGACTCGTCATCGTCGGCGTCATCGTCGTTGTCGTCGTTGCCATTAGCCACAAGCTTCTTGGACATATGTGATGGTTGGTGCTGACCTCGACGCGGGACCGGTGTTGGTATACACCGCCAAATACTTGCACCGGTAGCTGTTCACGTTCCGACCGCGCACTTGTACGTCCTTCTGCCTGTATTGTCGTTATCAACCGATAGACGTTTCTGACCGTCATCCTCACCGGGGCACCGACGAGCAGACGATCATGAACATGACCGTCGACGCACACAGCAGAGCGTGAAGATGGACGGGTTGTGCAACGAACAGTGCGGCGGGCACGCGAACTAACGCTGTATTCCGAGAAGGTGGCCACGTACCCGATTGAGATTGTGAGGAGGGCCTTGTAGTCGATCGCCCCTCGACGTGTTGGTCAAGAAGGCGCAGAGGCTGGTGTGTTCAACCCCGTGACCACGTTGGTGTACTGTCATGGACACGTGAAGATGAGCTTCTACGACAACTCGGAGCTGTCGGTGATCAGCACCATGATGAACATCAGGTACCCTGAGTAGTCACCAGCGCCTGCGGGATCACGTCTCTCAAGGTGACCAAGATGGCGGAGGCAGACAGGAACGAAGGTCTGGAAGAAGCATAGGCATGACGACGAGGCCAAGTCCGAGGACGAGACGAGAGTCTAGTGCTGCCGAGGATCGATCTGTGGTCGACCTGCAGAAGATTTTCCATGTATCTCACAACCACAGCTCGATGTGTCGCAAGAGCCCTGTTGAACGTGTGCGACTCCGGGTCCAGCTCGCAGGCGATGTCCAGATCCAACAGCACCAGCTAGACCGGCCACATGTACAGGACCCTGCACACCAGCACGCGCGTCGAGGTCACCGCCAATTTGGTCACCAGGCTCCGTCTCTCCGGCGATGCAGGATCTCAGCGGCGGCGGCGGCGGCGGCGTGCAAATCACCACGCGCACCGACCTCTCGCTCTTGTACTCTGGAGGTGGTGCAGGTTGGTCGTCTCGCACAACGAGTAGAAGTGTCGAAGAATTCGTCAAACCCTGGACATTTCCAAATTAGAAACGAGTTTATTCGCCATCGAGATGCAAATGTACCAAATTCTTACCGTTCGGTCATTAGAACAGCTCGCCAACAAGCGGCAGTGGTCGCGAATTCGCCCAGAGATTTCTCCCCTACCAGGTCCTCCACCAAAGGAGGGAGGGACCAGCGGCCCAAAACTCGCAATCTGTTCAAGGAACAACTTCCCGAAGAGAATCAGGTTCTGGCAATATAATTTTTTCTCCTTCTCGCCATATATTTCTCAAACCGCATACCCTTCCCATTCGTATGCCACTGGCACTCTTGTGTCTGCAATCTGGCGTCTACCGTCATCGGCCATCATCGTGCAAAGACTCGTCGTTGTATTGGGCCTTGCTCGGAGCGGTCACTCAGTCAAGGATGCCACGGCCATTACTGACAGCTCCTTGGGTACGTGCGATCGCTGATGCCCTTCTCCATAGCTCTCAGTCTGGGACGGCGACGGTCTGCAGAGGTAGTTTCAGCCAGCGTCTGGTTCCCTACTTCAGTTAAAATGCTCCGTCGTAGTTGGGGTTGTGGTGCCGATCGTGTTTTTGAGAATTCGCATTCTTGGACTGACTTCTGGATCCTGAGACGAAATTCCGCGCGATGATGCGGTTGGTTTTGCTCGCTTGAGTTGCGGGCCAGAAAATCGTGGGTTTGACTGCTCACAGGATGCCACCTTTTTAATTTCGTCCATTTAAGGTTAGCGTGCCAAGACAGAGTATTGCACGCGGTCGCGCACGCGCCACTAACTGTCGAAGCTGAATGTTATGGCACGTGCGCAGGCCGCGTGCATTGATTGGTCTTGGCACGCTAACCTGAAATCGACTCGATTGAAATGGTGGCAACAACCATCTTCCTCTCTTTTCGAACTCTTTCCAACCAGAACACCCGGACAAGAAGTGATAGCCCAGTACCTAGGAGGAGCAGAAAGATGGACGCCTTCTGCCATTGTCAAGATCAACGGGGACTGAGGTGGTTTCCTGGCCGAGTGAACAGGCTTTCCGTGGTACCTGACGCATCAGGACTTTGGACGCTTTGTGCTTGAGAGTTACCGAACAAGTCACCGAAGCTGCTGTATGTGCTTCCGGCATCTTGAGCTTCGACCGATCGCTCGAAATCAAGAAAAAGACCTCCAATTACCCCAATTCGGGTCGACATGATCTATGCATTGACCTGTCCATCGAGTATAACGGTTGTCATTTTGGTGTTTTTCTGAGACTCTCGATTTTGCCGTGCCAGGCCGTAATAGCAGTGACCGCCGCGAATGCCGATTCCTTTTCCGACCACCCCTGAGGCTCCAAGGCAAGCACATGGGGAGGTCGCAGGCCGACAAAAGAAGAGTTTGAGCGCCGAGTCAATGGTCCACCTGGGCATTGAGTCATCTCGAACGATCCATCTCGCCACGAACATAGTTGTACAAGTACTTGTATACATGACTGGATGAGACATAATCGCTTCATGTTTTCTCCCCTTTCATTCCCTCGCCTTTCATGCTCTACCTACCCAGATCGGTCCACGTAATCACCCCGACCGATTGGCACTGTGACATGACAGCTTTCTAGGATAATACTTCGAGACGAGAGCGTGTTTGCCGAGTTCTTCTGTTGTTCAGATACAAGTTTGCGGCTGCCTGATCAATTCATTGGGGACTTGAGACTCTCACCCCGCAGCTACTAATGCACCTTCCACACCTGCCAGTGCCTGCGACTCCCTTTTGGTCGTCAAAACTCCTGTCGTGTAAATCCCCCCAACATGAGTTACAACAACTCAACCAACCCACTCTCAATACCCAACCAAGACAACCCCTTATTATTTAAGTACCGCATGCTCACCACCCGTGGGAAGCTTCCTTCCCTCATGCTTTGAGTCATAGCTAAGATATACTATCAAGGAATACCTATACCTACCTGTTTACTTATCGCTGCCCTCTGCCTATCTACATAGGCCGTTCCTAACACGGCGGAGGCAATTGTTACAACTTGCGCGTACGTTCCTCCTACAGTCATTCTGCTTCTCGCCGTCGTTCTAATCCGTCTCAGGCACATCTTTTGCATACCCTGCGCCGAGAAGACTGGCTTGTCGACAGCACCCCGGAATCAGCGTCGATGTCCTGTTTGCAAGACCGCCCTACCAAATGCCCACGTATCACAAACAGAGCAGGAAGCCGAAGTGAACCGCACGAGAGGAGCATGTTACTCAGGGGGAGAAGCATCCTCCTACGCGGCCTTCAGGCCACTCGGGAAGAAACCGAGCCGGGTAGGCCTAAACTACTTTAGGCCACTTACACACTAAAGAAGAAAAAGTATGTTCCTCGCACCCGAGAAGCATCCTTTTCTCATGCTTCAAGTTTTATCACAACTATACGTAAAGGGGGTACGGTACTTATTACTACGGAATCGATCTATCGCTGAGTACTGCCTATCTCTAACAAGGCATTCCAGATAAGACCGCCCTACCAAAAGCCCACGATGCAGTCCGCAATCTGGTAAATCCACCCGAAGACTTCAAGACCAGCGTTCTTTGTGGCCTCGACCCCGCAAACATCATGGAGTGTGCCCAGACGGCGCTTTCTTTCTGGACATACCAAAAGGCTCAGGAACTGTGAGGTTTAATGCTTCCTCTGCCAAGTGACCTTTCTGACGAGAGTGACAGTGCATATCAGCAACACATTGCTAGAAACCTGACGCACAGGCCTCCACCAACTCAATGCAGAGGTTGAAGGGACAGAGGTTGAAGGGACAGAGGTTGAAGGGACAGAAGTTGAAAGGACAGTGAATGATGGCAATTCTCAAATATACAAGACGAAACCTTGAAGAGATGGATACTAGACCTCGAGGCACAAGGACACCCACTCAGCTATTCCTTTGTTCAAAAGTCCGCAGGAGTAATTAGCAGCGATAACGGCGGCTTTGAACGCGTCGGGCATAAGTAGCTACCAAGGTTTATCCAGAGACATCCTGACCCTAATGTTCTGCATTCAGCGTGTCAACTGTACCCTCCCCGTGGCGCTTGAGGCGTGGTTTAGCAATCTACAGGCTGTTTTTACCCCGGTTTCAGAGAGACACCCCACAACGAGCAATTCCAAACACGATCCTCGGGTCGTGGGTGGATGAACCGCCACCCCTGGACAAACTCCTGGAGAGGTGCAACAAAAATGGACCTGATCCGCGTGGAGGAAGATACCCAGCGCGCACTGCAGCGCCGCGGTCGAGATGACTACTCGAGAAAAGGGAAAAGGAATCCACAACGAAATGTTTCCCATAGTACACTGGAAGGAAGTACAAGTGCCGCCTACACCTCTGACGCTCACAAAGACTGAGGCGTCCACAGCGCGCGTCGACTCTGCACCATAGCGAGAGTTGTCATCGGTCCGAGGCGGGTGTCAATGTCATTTAAATTCCAAGGGCCCAAAGGGAACGCGACGGGATCATCGTCCAGAGGAGATGATGATCGCGTACACGTTGAGGACGATGGTGCCGAACCAGCCATTTGCTGTTCCACGGACAAGCTGACAGAGGAGGAAGCACATTGGGAAGACCTTTTAACACCCAAAAGCGTCGATGTTAACGTGCAAGGGCTGATGAAAGTCACATGTACATATATGTTTGTGTTTTCTGTATGTGTTTTCTCCGTCTTTAGTGCGAGACATGAAAACCTAGAAGAATTTCATGACCAGATTGGATCGAATTCACCGTGGCCAGCTGCCTCCAGGACCCCTCTCCACATCTGCGACTCCATCACCCATTCTAGCGTCGGGAGATTGCCCTCACATGTTACGGGACCTCGACATCACAGCAACATGGCTTCTCAGAAGATGGTGACAAAGCTGATCCACGGCCTGGCAACAAGGACGAGGGCAGCCAGCACCCATGCAACCTTCCTCGAGAATTCCTTACTTGGACTGGTCATGACCGTTGCTGGATGCATGATACCGTCATCAATGTCAGGAGATGTCCTTCGGTAAAAAGATCCAAGCTCGAGGTGGTCAAGACAGCCCAGACCACTGTTCAATGGTCCTGGAAGTGGCTGCGCCGGTCCAAGACATTCATTGCTTTCGCGGTGTGTTGATCTGTCTTCACTGTCGGTACGTCAAGGCGGCTGAATTTCAAGGTTCCTCAGCAAAGCCAGTGGCTCACGCCACCAATATTTGGAGGACTGGATTCAGGCTCTTGCGTTGTTTTTCTGGTATGGAAGACATAAGGACGGAGAGCGCCATCATCACCGTCCTGTTTTTCGCGAAGACTCCCAACGCGGTAACAACTCGGTTCCCTCACCGACTATGGCACGCTGGCAAGAGAAGTACATCTTGGTAGTACCTGTCTACTGTCTCCTCAATTGGTGATTGCTCGCTGCTTCATGCATCGCACTCTTTGCCGGATCTCGGGGATTGGGGACCAGGGGAGGGGGTGGATGGAAAAGGATGCTCGTTCCTCGGTCTTCTCAATTCCACCTATGCAACTTGTGTATTTGATTTTTCCTGCTCGGCATGTCCTTCGGGTATTTGGCCACCACTGCGGAGCCGAACATTTGATTTGGAGCGGCTGCAAATATGCGAAGCGCAGCAAGTGCTCGGAAGGGGCGGGATACAACAAGACAGGGCGACGAAGGATTCCGCGTGCATCCGACCAGCCGCCGCTGGAGTTATTTCCGATCCATCAATTCACGCTACAGGAAAGCACAGATCCCGTGCTATTGAGGAAGCAAGCGGACTTGATGGACGAAGGCCGTGGCGGGAGATTCTAACGCGCGACCGTCCTATTCTGACTTGTATGGATGGCGTTCTCGGTGTGGGCACTTTTCCCACGCCTGGTACTTGCACTTGTCCTTGTTCTTGTCCTTGTGCAGTTTGGGACCTGACGTGGACCAGTCTGCATACTACAAGAGAGGAAACCTCATTCGCGGCAGACCGAGAGGCACTCCAGGGAGCATTCGAGCCACTACAGACATCTCTCAAGCAAACATTGTCAGTTGGGACGGTGCAGTTGGATACCTCAAGCTTTGCAGAGCCTACGAACACAACCAGATCCATCCGCTAATCGACCCGATCCACGAGATCAAACAAGGCGATCACTCGTTCGTCGTACTGCCAGAGAAATTTCTGTTTCATGACCGGAATCTCGACGCCTCCCTCTCTCTTCCTGTCCTACATGACCTCACCCCCGGCTCAACGGCGGCTCCGGCCTGGGCCAGCTCACCCCCTTTACCACGCCCGTGACGGTGGCCCAAAGGTCGTCCCTGCTCTGTTCAACGAGGACCCAGAACTAGGCTCTAAGGGGGTGGGTTCCCTGGAAGTGCACCAGCACGGCACGTTGCCTCAAGCACTTCGAGCGACAAGCCCTTCCTCCGGAAATCAGTCGGGATTGATGGACTGACCAGACAGACAGCGGTGTCTTCATATATCAGGCGATTCAACCTTCAGATCTCGAAGCCTCTTCTCTGCGTCATGCTGCTCCTGAAGCGCCGTGTTGTTCTTGATGATCGCTTGTTGAAGAATCTCATTCGCTTGAGGGGTGTTGACCCCGGACAGGGCCTGAGTCCAGATCCTGGCGCTCCACTGAGCCTCGAGAGCAGCTTTGCGCTTTATGCACCAGTCAAGAAGCGCTTCCACCATTTCGATCTTCTTTACTAGGATTGAATCAGATACATTCACACCTTCACACCTTGGAAACCCGGGGCGGAGCATTCATTCATACCTTCGGTGCCCGCCATTGTGTTGCTATCTCGGATGGATCGGATTGCCTTGAAAAAAAAAAAAAAAAGTCTTGGAAACTGTCCAAAAGATTGTATGGTAACGATGTCCTTTCAAGATCCTGGGAGAAAGAGAGGGAAGAGGCCCCGTTGGAGGTTGGGGGGCTGGGGCCTCGTAGGTGTGGGAGGGGGGGTCGTTGTTGCCTGGAGGAGATGCCCCTCATTTGTGTAACACCAGCCTCGAACTCGGCGCCACCCCCCTCCCACGGCGCCCTTTTCGACCAACTCGCTTGACACCTGGTGCTCCATTCCGGTCTATCCCCTCTGAAGAGTACCTCATTGTCCTCACCCACAGATACAGACATGGACAGACGCTGGTAAACTACCCAACTACATGAGTGACCATCCAGCTTGACCTTGACACAGGCATGATAGACGACGAGAAACGGCGGCGATCCTCCACGGAAACCTACCAATCGTGGTCCTACGGCTCTTGGACACCGACGAAGCCAGTCCTTCCAGCACGATCCCAAACCAATCACGAGCCAAATCGTGCCTCAATCTCTGCCACCTCTGCGCCGACGTTGCGGCGTTCGAGCAAGCGCAGTAGTGCTGCTTTGCTTCTGGGGTCTCCTCTCACAACTCAGGCGATGAGGATTCCTGCAGCACCACAGAAGAGGAGGGCCAAGATAAATTCAATCCTCGAGTGGCCTCGCGGTTGGATGTCCCTCCCTATTCGAAACGAGATCCTAAATGTCACGGGGCATTGCCTGCAATACGAATCCATGAGCCAAAGTGCCCATGGTAGAGCGCTCCATAGGCACTTGCAGAGGTCACGTATGTGATACGTCCGGAATGCTCCTGTTCAATCTGTGGGACGACGGTTTTTCGAACATAAGTAAGTATTCGAGATGACCATCGTCGTACGCGGCAACGCACATGCACATCAAAAGATCTGCCTCCAGAACTCGATGGTATATGAGACGAGAGAGGAAGCCTAGTCGCTGGAGAAAATCCTGCAGGGCAAAGAAAGACACTGGACAAAATTCTGACAGAAAAGAAATTGGTTCAAGGCATATCAGGCGCTTTTTCCCGCGGACGATTCCACATTGCACCGACCTCAGCACGTCTCACTCCACGCGAGATCGAGATTAGCACCTAGATACGTTACGGCGATTTACAGCAAGAACAAACGGTGCGGGAACGAACTGGCAATGAGCTTGAGTTAAAGATGACGATCGACCAGTTTTGAGATGCAGGTTCTTTCTAACGAAATCGCCATTGGAGCGGCGGCGGCAATCAAGAACGATGATGGTCTCATACAGTCATGAAGCACACGAACGAGGGAATTGGGTAATGGCGCATCAAGACAAACAGGAGTGTAAAGAGCTGGATTGTATCTGTTTGTGACTGCTGGATAGGTGGGTGTTTTGGATTTGCGGCCGGGGAAGCGGCGTCACGTCCGACCGACGATGCGTTGAAGCAAGCATCCTTTGAAAGCATCTCGAGGGCAAAGCCATGAGTGAGTGGGATAGATACGGAAAATATCTGGTAAGAGCATTGCGTACTATCGGATAGCATCGCAGCGTCGGCGCCGCTCACCTTGCGCTCTGTCTGAGTGAGTGAGTGCAGGGCAGGGCAGCCTTGCTGGAGCCTCGTCCGGGCTATTACAGACACGGGTAGCTGATTCTCCCGATAGTACTCAAGGTTGAGATTACAGATCTTTCCTGAGTGAAGGAAGCCTTGGACGATTTCCTTCATCGGGGTAGCATGGTCAGGTCGGTGCGCCAGAACGATGTCTACCTATGATATGGCTGTTGGAGACGCTCTAGGGAGAGACTAGGAGACCATGTATAATGAAAATGAGGTACACCCGGGAGACACCCAGGAGACATGTACAATGGGGTGTGTACACCCGGGAGACACTATACAATGCAGTGATGTACACCTAGAAGATCACCTGGCTCAAAACCCAATACCATTTAATCATCCCAAGGGGCACTATCCGATGGCAGTGGTGTACACCCAGGGGGCATTGTACAGTGGAGGTGGTGCCACACCCGGGGAGACCACCTCGCTCAACGAGTTCGGTTGATTTTGAGAGGATGGACCACCAGTCCGGACTCCGTAACTGCGGCGTGGGTTGCTATCGTGCCGTGATGTGTTGTGCGTAGTGTTCGGGGGCCGCGCACACGGTTCACGGCAGTTGAAGGTTGAACTGAAGTTGAGGGTTGAGGCCGTAGTTGACGAGTGCTTCTTTCTAGTCATGTCCATGTCGCTATAAAATAAAACTGCATCATCCAATCCTGACGCGCGTCGGTACGCTAGATTGTTCAAGCCTGAATTGTATTGCTCTGTCCTGTAATATTTAAGGATGGGGAGATGAAATAACTACTGCGTCCACCATCACCTCCACCGCCTGGTGCGGCCAAGCGCAAAGTCGGCGTGCTGGGTGCGATCATCGCGAGAGGAGATTGGTGTCCTCCCAGTATCCAACCCACCGTCATTGTATATTGTCGACCCAGGGGGACTCACTATACAATGGGGCCGGTGGCGGCCAGAACTCTCGTCCGTCAGTGTTCCCTTTGAGTGCAGCAGGAACACAAGCGGCGCTTATTCTGAGGCGGAGATTGTCTGCGTAAACGTTTGGTAGACTGTTGACTCGATGAAATCTCGCTCGCCGGATGAGACTGTAGAGTTGTGAGAGTTGACGGTCGATTCGAGATATTCGGTTGGAGGGAGGGGGTTGTGCCTCCTGGATCGGAGTCTCGGTGTTGGTTGGCATCACCCAATCTGGAGAATCGAGGTCCATCGTATATGCACTGTTTATAAACGCACGCGTGTCGAGAGGAGTTGCAATCTCCCTTTCTTCTTTGGCACCGGTGCAGGAGAACCAGATGGACGAGGCCTCTCGCGGAAACATGGGGTCGAAGGTCTCGAGTATCTCCTGGGTGTGCATCACTTTCATTGTACAGTGGCACCTGGGTGTACGCCGTCTCCATCGTATAGTGCCCCCCTGGGTGTGTGCCAACCCCGTCGTATGGTGTCTGGTGGGTGTGCACCCACCCCATCATGGGTACAGTGGCCCCTAGGCATACGCCACCCGCATCGTAGTGTCTCTTGGGATGACCGAACGGTATCGAGTTTGAAGGGGGTGATGTCCTCCTCGAAGCTGATAGGGATACCCGCCAAAACTTTGACTAATGTCCCAATGCATGCCCATCCCAATAATTTACACCGCCCCCATCGTAGTGTCTTCTGGGCGTACATCATTGTCATGATGAACTGCCTCCATCAACGCCACTGCTGGGATTCAGTAGGGAGGAGGAGGGGGGGCCGTTTCGGCGGTGTGCCGGGTGGTTTGGGTACCCTCTCGGCTTGGGAGAAGACGCGGCACGGAGATGGCGTTGTTGCCTAGTGAAAAAAACCTGCTTAAGATATTCAGTCAACCAATCACTTACTTAGACAACTCACTCTGTGATGGGGTTGAACGGCAGGAGAAGGTGAGCTCAGTTCGGGCGCAACCAGCACCAAGACTGATGCTTCCTCCTGATTGGTTGAGTTTACTTGTACGACAATGCAAAGGCAGAATGCGGCTTCCTGGTTGGACGAGACAGACAGTGTCAGTGATGCAGGAGCCTGACAAACTGACGCACTGTACGTAAGGGAAAGGTAAAGAGGTAGCACAAGGTGCAAGACGAGCACACGAAAGGACTGAATGACGTGTACGAAAGAGGAAGGTAAAGGGAGAAAAGGTAGGACGATGGGCACGCCGTGTAGAGGAGCGTTACGACATAAAGAGAGAGTGTTTGTTCTTCCTTCTTCCTCTCTCTCTCTCTCTCCTCAGAGTTATCCTCCTCACTAGGTTAGCTCGCCAGACACAGAACTCTTTCCAAACCCTCACACACACTCTTACTCACCTCACTCGGTTCTTCTCAAAATCCACCCCTTCACACTCTTCCCTGGGTTTCGGTTCAAAGCTCATCGGTAAGAGCTCCCCGATCACCTTAGACACTCTGTGCAGGTGGTCTCGATGGTGGCCACTCCTTATCTTGTCCTCCTTTTCCCCCCGAAACTGGATCCCAGTTGCAAGTTGTCCTCGTGGTGTCATATACCAAGTGCTAATTCGAATTGAAAACAGGAAACCGTGGTCGGCTTCGCCATGCCACCACCACCACCCAACAAGCCTCCCCCAAAGCCATCGAGCGAACCCAACATTCCCGGAGTGAGCTAAATGTCTCCTCGACCTCGCTCGACACCGCTGCAATCAATCAATCGAGCGAGGACTCTGCCCTTAATCTCCTGATCAGGCAAGGGGGATGACTTGGGAACAAGGATTGGAGGATCAGGAATGGAAGATGACATGAGGACCAGGATTGGAGGATCAGGTCAATGAAACTGTTACGAGTAGATAGAAACCGTCACACACGTTCGTTACATGGAAACACTGGCCAGGGTCAGGCTCTTTTGAGCTGGCGATACCTTGGGACCAGGACTGGAGGATCGGGCCAATGAACTGTCACGAGTAGATAGATCTTCTTCGGAAGCCACGTTCGTTACATGGAAAACACCAGCATCGGTCTTCTTGTTGCACCGAGATCCCGTAGCATGGTGTGGGGGGGGGGGGGGGGGGTGTTGTAGACATCCAGCTCCCGTTTGTCTCCTGCGATTCGGAAATTGCTTTTTCTCAGATAGACTCTCGTCGTAGTGCTCTAGTGTCTGTAGTCCTGTCTGCACCCACGAGTTTCGTGGTTGGCGAGATGAAAGACGGCTGAGTCTTAACAGTCGCTTCGGTCAGTCAAAAATCCCGTTTACTTGCTGAAAGCCTCTGAGTCGGAGCAATCTCCGCTGGAAACCGTGACCTTCGTCAGAGTCTTCCGCTCTTGAAATGGTCGATGGAATGCTGACAGTGCTCAGCTCGTATCCTGCTGCTTTCAGCACGGCCAGGCCGCAGGCGAGCCTTTGCTTACTGACGTCTTAGCATCGATGATCGCTCCAGTCTCGTGCGCTTGTTATTGCGAATGGTATTTGATGATCGCAAGGTTCCAGAGGGCACCATCATCAGCAAGGAACCGCAGAGACCCACAGCTGTTTTCCCAATGGGACTCATGATGCCAACATCGCGCACAGCCATCATGCCGTCTGTCATCCTTGGATCGATCCTGAGATCAAATAGGTGACAAAGTGCTGATGCAGCCAGAAGAAGTTGTGCTCGAGCGAGATGCATCCCTACACAATTCCGGGGACCAACCCCAAAAGGTGTGTGTGCGACATTCATCTTCGTGGAAGGATACACGACTGAATGGCATCAAGGTATCTGGCGACGTCGTGCAAGATCTGGCCTTGTCATTGAGCGATTCCATGATGGGAGAAACCATATGCGATCTGTCGACGCGTACGAGCGTGCGTATCGGAACGAATGGCGCTAAACACTGAGGATGTACCGGTAGGTGTTCAGCACTTGTAGAAATCTGATTTCAGACAAGGTCGGGCACTCTGGTCGTAGATATCTTTGATCGAGGCAAGATCGGAGAAGGTGAGTTCGTTTGGGCCGGTGCGCACTCCCTTCCCGTACTTCTGATGTAGTTTGTATCGTGCGTAGGTATCTCTTTCTTTCACCGCTTGCCAGATCATATGGACCTTTATCATTTTCGCCAGCGGCGGCCCGGGAAACCTGGATAGAGGGTGGGCGGAATGGCATCACCAAAGTCATGGTATGGCCCAGCTTGGTAGGAATTTCCCTGAAGTGCGAGCATACGCTCTGACTTCTCATGTGGAGCTCAACATGAGCTGATCAAAGCAAGCCGTCGTCTCTCCGGACCGCATGGTGATGCCTGTTGATCGCCCCCAGTATCAATTCACCTTGAGCGACGCCGGAATCGACACCGGCAGCGCATGCTGCATGGTGCATCCCTGTGGTACAGCTCCAACTGTAGTCACGGTCGATGACTGGGTCTGGAAGCCAATCGCTGGTGTAACCCAGGAGATCAAGCTGGGTAATTTCATCGCGTCTTAGCGCTCTGCCAGACAAGACCACGGCGTGAACCACGCCCGATCCGCGACACACCAAGATCTTGATGATGTGGATCGCCCAACACCCCCTCAAAACATGAATGTCGTTCCAGAACCCGTGAGACGGAGAATTCGGTGCGACGGCAAAACGCGGTGGTGAAGTAATAGAACGAGACGATTTGCCAGCAGTCTCTCGGAAGAGTATAGTCCCCAGCTGCGCGGAGGTGAAAGTGCCAGTACCAGTGCACGAGAACCGAGATATCGTGACCGTGGACGTGCAGGGGATGAGAAGGCCAAGAACTGGTTCTGGATGTTGTATCCACCTTCAAACAGCTAGAGAAGCTCAGATGCCTCAGAGTGGGAACCGAGGTGTCACCACAGTGTCGCCATCTGGTCGGCATTGAGGGCGTGCCCAGCGTGAAGGACGGGATCGGCGATAGGCAGTGGGGAAGGTGCGTAGTGGTGGTGACGACCAGAGATGTCCAATATCATGTTGTTCCTGTTCCTGCTCGCAGATCCCAGGGTGTTTTTCTGTGTCTTGAAACGACACACACCAACCGTCGATTGAAGTGGAATGCCCCGAGCATCGAGTTCTACCAGAGCGGGAGCGTCGGTGCCATGAGGATGGAGGAGTGAGTGGGCATGAGGGTCGAAGGCGAGCAGTTGGAGAGGCTGAGCAAGATGGTCGGATCAGCCACGTGTGCAAGGACCCTCTTCCACGAGGCAGGTTCCGGTATACTGTACCACCTCTGAGAACGTGCCGGTCGCTGAAGTGGTCGACAACGTGATTGAACCAGGTCGTCATGGCTGTCAACATCAATGGCGAGGTCAATGGTGCGTCCTGGTGCTTCAGCCGCAGGAACGACTTCCTTTTCTGTTTCGGCCGTCATTGCACGAGTCTTCTGGTTGTTGAACCGTAAAGTGCTGTTACTGGTGCAGAGAGAAGCTCCGCCAACACCGACGATGGTGTAAAAGTTGGGAAACCGTGGGCACGAAAGTCCCATATAGATACTGGCGCACCAGGTCAGACTCTTCCTCGAACCCTATGGCCCTTTGGGGATCTCGACTCACTTGGGTCCTCCGTATGGCTCCCAGTCCTCCTTGATCGTCTTGTTAATGGACCTCAAATGAGAGATGAGAACAGTATGTATGGGGGATGCGGCCAGTGGTTGACGCACGGCTTGACGATCGTGAGCCATCTCGCGAATACCGTCGAACTGCAGGTGCGTCACTTGTACCTCCTCGCAGCCTGTCTGGCGGCGCGTGATCCTGACTTTGATGAGAGTCTCAATTCATGATGAATCCGGCGTGCGGCCTGTGTCTGCTCTGGTTGGCCCGAGGCTCTCGTTTGAAAATCATCACCATCCTCAAAGTACCCATTCGTGGTCCAGCCATGAATGGTTTTCGTGAAGAAACCCGGCAGTGCTGGCAGTGCAGGATCAGCACTGGGGCTCAGTGGTGTCAGAGCATGTCCTGGCCTGGGCCGAAGATGATGAGCAGTACCGAGATTCCCCGGAAGATCAACAGGTATCTCAGCACCCAGCGCCAGTCGGCCGCGCCGGTGCAGGAACGAGATGTCCAGGAGACTGCTCTCGTTCAGCGAGTAGCTGGGCGCGGACCCGAAGCCCGAGAGGATCATGTACGCCCACATGAAGTTGATCGAGTTCATGGCGGCGCCGAACGCGAGACCGGCGAGAACGAGGAGGGACCCGATGATGTAGGGCAGCCGGCGTCTGTACTTGGTCGTCACGGGCTGCGTGAAGAGGATCCCAAAGCACAGCCACCAACAGACTTGCCAGCTTCAATCAGGGTGGGCGGACCCCCGGTGTGACCACGAGGCTTGTCAAACCCAGCTTCAGTCAGTGCACAGGTCGTCCACCGCGACCGCAAGGTGTTTGGGGACGAGGCCGACGTCTTTCGACCGCAACGGTGGTTGGAGGCTGACGAGGCGCAGCTCAAGGCCATGGAGAGAGGGCTATCATCATGCTCGTAAAAGTCCAGTTTGATCGACATCAGGGGGCACCAGTTGGGCGCAGGAGTCTCTCACAAAGACAGACCCGAAGGCTGCGAAGGTGAGCGACAAGGCCTGAGCCACTTTAGACTCGCCTACCAGGATGGCTTGTTGCGAGCCTATGGAAGATCCATTGCCGCGCAGGAACTGAAGCCGTTGCTCGCGTATCTGCTCTTTCGGGGTACGAGATCCAGATGATCATGGAAGGGGGCCTTGGTGGGAACCGGGATTGGAAGGGCATTAGACCTGAATGTTACTGGGTGGGACTGAACCACGTCCCGCCGATGAGTAGCAAGGCGAGGGCGAGGAAACGGAAGCGCAACTCCCTGGAAGCCGCATCCTCCAGGGCGGTGTCGTATTCTTCCTCATTGCGTTTGATGTTGGTCTGGTAAACTGCCAATAATGGAACTCGGCTGGTATGGATCGAAGCCGGGGACAGCGACGAAGATAACGACGAGGGTATGGGTGATGTAGACGACGACTGAGTAGGACAAGACAGATTGTGTTGGTCGACTCCGTCTTGTCGACTGTCCATTTACCCTTCCTCGAATACATGTAGGGCTTTGTTGTGTTCTGTTTTCGCTTCGAAACAGATACAGGGTGGTGGGGTTTGCAACTGGCCAATGTCTGGACTTGCGGCTTGGATTGCGTATCGTGGTTTTATGATTGAAAGAATGATCCAAGGAAGACGATACGGGGAGGTATTCGTTTCCTGCCGTCGCGGTGAGGAACGCCGGAGTCTTAGAATCGCCGTCGTCAAATCTGGTTTGAGCCCGAACGGAAAGATTGGCTGCAGTGGAGCCACCGCGGTATGATTGTCGCACCACGTCTCCGCTGACAAGTCGGGGGCCAAAAGAGTGTGATTGGGGAGAGGGCAAAGTCATCATCACTCCGTTGGATTGAGCGATGCTCGGCATCAATCGCTTTGTTAGGGATACGTGACCAACCTCGGTATCACGCTCGCAGATCTAATCGATGCGAACAGCCTCAATAGGCAATGAATTGATGAATTGCAGTACAAAGGACAATCTGAAAAGGTCGAGGTTCTGTTGTGTGAACAATATCTCAAGTGGCACGTGATCAACGTGCCAAGAGATCAGGTCCGTGACATCACCCCTCCTAAAACACGTGTCAGGTCCTCTGACACGGGTGTTTTCATTTTCCATTCCACGGTTGCGTGTGTTGGGTAGTAATATTGAACGTGTCGACACGTTACCTTCCCGGGCGGTACTGCAAGATATCACGGTCGCAGATTCAATCAATTCATTGCCTGTTGAGGCTGTTCGCATCAATTAGATCTGCGACCGTGATATTACGAGTCGATTTACACGTGAGGTGTCGCGGGCAAACCCAAGGAGGTGGTTTACTTGGTGATATAGTAGTGGAAGGGTGTAGTAGAGACGAAACCAAGTGTATAGTGTGCGGAACTATACGTAAAGCGTACAATCGAGAGGAACTCGATTATTTGTGAACGAAGCCAACTACGAAGGTACCCATAGGGGTGTCTTCTCCTTATATAACCGTAAGTGGTTAGCGGTGCTCAGTGGTACTCAGTGGTGCTCAGTGCTGAGCGTTCACGTCGTGGTGGGGTCCGCCAAGGCCGGGGCCTTTTCTCTTGTTGGTTGGTCTTAATCTGTACCATGCATAGGTAAATTGCAGCCTTCCGAGTGGTGCGGCACAGCTTCCTCTTTGGAGGTGGTTGCGGTCATGGATTTGGTCCTAAATCATGATTCGTAACACTCCGCGACCGGATCGTCAAACGCGCTTGAAGTGATAAAAGGCCTTTGCACCGGCAATTGTTCGTGCACATCCCCGGCCGTCACACTGATGAGGATGACACCGGACGAGAACAGAAAGATTGATCAATTTATCGTCGACAAACTCTCCGCCAAAGCCACCAACCTAGAGACTATCCGTGTCCTGATTTCGGGAAAAGTGATGGCACATGGATATCTACGCGACTTCTGGTGAAGAATTTAAACACTTTCATGTTCCTTGCAGTTCACCATCACATGGCCATGCGCGGTCGGTGGAGTGAGTTGTGCTTCCCCGCCCCGCTATAACTCGCGCGGTTGACAGGGACAGCCTCTGCCGCCTTGACGGTTTCCGCGGCCACTTAGCCTACTAAGTCAGGTGAGACATCCCTCAGTTCGACTGTGAGAGACGGGGAGTTTTCACAGACTCGATATCGACACGGCGTCTGAAACGTTCATCCGCGAGTGAGCCAGTCCTTGACCATGCTGCCGCCGCTGCTGCTGCACCCAGTCGGACCGATGCTTCTCTCTCGTCCTGAAGCGACATATGACCCGCAATGACTTGTTTAGACGTCATGCCCACATCTGACGGATGTAAACACTTCAGAGGTGCCAACTTGGGAAGGAGTCTGCGGAGGACCAGCACGACGCCCTCGGAATGAGCCACCGACGTCGTCTACTGCAACGCCTCGTCGTTGGACAGTGACTGCCGCACCACGTCGCCACCGAACGCGCAACCGAGCGCCAACGGTGCATATCCTTCTGACCGATGCGGTGAGCTCGGGAAAAGTGCTTGGATTTCCTGGTGCGGGTTGAAATGTGGATCGAGAATGATAACCGACCGTGCCGGCCGTGGCAAGATTGATTCCAACAGCACCAGCTCGCGTCGACAACATAAAGGCAAAGTACGGTGAGTCTGGTGCATGGGAGAGACTGACGAAATGGCATCGCCCGCAAATTCGCTGACGTCGCGGACTCGACGGTGCCAGCTGGTGCTGATTCCTAGGGTCGCAGAGGATGCAGACGAGACTGCTACCGTAGCAGCATCGCCTCTCTGCGATACAACAGGGTTCCCCCCCCCAAACCTCCGCGCATCATCCAGTGTTTGTCGACACATACCCGTCTCCTCGTCCTCTAGTACGAGATACATTTGTGGTCATCTCAGCCTTTTCGTTCTTGTTTGTTTGAGTACGACGTACGTATGTACATTCATACTCACGACAAGATACAATTCTGCAGATTCACCCGAAGAAGAAACTGTTGGAGATGCTGCACAACGACAACCCGGACCAGTTCCCAGATCCCAACCACAAGCCCGAGAATAGCCGTCGCTCTGTCCTGATTCGAGGCTTTTGTCGGGTTCAAGCCCCTAGTAGACATCTAGGAGTTGATAAAAATGGAACCTCTCAAGCCATTTTCACCCACCACAACCGAGGGCTTGACCTTGAGCGATGACGAGACTTTGCGGCCTTGTCCGATTCCTTTACACGCATCGGATGTGGTGGGCAGGTAACGGTGTACAAGGCATCCTCTGAAAATCCCGCTGATTGCACCAAGGAGAACGACGGAATAGAGAACGGGCTGAACTTTGCCAATTGGGCCATCCACATCAGCGTCAAGTTCCGGGAGCAAAGAGCAACTAAGTCTTCTAGACAGTCGCCAGCAGTCAGTACCATCTTCTACCTCATAGCTCTGCAGAGTCCAAGTCGAGCTCCCTTCCGAGTGGTCGACGAGATCAACCAGGGCATAAACCCCCGAAACGAACGCATGGTGCATGGCCGAATGGTCGATATCGCGACGGACGACGGCGGCAGAGGCAGAAGAAGATGAATGAGTTCGAATCCATTCGAAACATCCCGAGAGCTATCTTGTCCCATTGTTTACATGTACGACACGGTGACGAGTCAATGGAATACGGTTGGGACTGAATTGGAAGGCACCGTTTCGTCTCTTTTCTGGATGACTAAATCGAATCTGCCCTGATCAATATCATCTGCCTGGCCGCCTCAATCTCCTTCCTCGATGCCAACCTTGGCGACGCAAGCCACGCGCAAGACCAACCTCCACAAGTTGGATGTGTGCATCAAAGTCTCGAACATGCTTGCCGACATGGCGAGTCCTGGAGGTCCGGTCGTGGTCTTTCGAACAATCGTCGCGCTGATGGAGTCTGCGGAACAGTGGGAGTGAGAGCTTCTTGTCTGGGTCGAGACGCTTGAGTCCATAACCTCTCATCGCCTAGACGAACGCAAGGACCAATATCTCGACTTTGGACAGGCACAACAAGGCAGGAGGCTCTCTTGGATCTGGTCGATGACACGAGAACACCTGTGGTAGCGAGCACATTATGGAAATGCTCCAATCCAGCTGCTGCGGCCGTGAGCGACCACACATTCCACAAGAACAACAAGAACAGCAACAACAAGAACAACAACAACAAGAACAGCAACAACAAGAACAGCAACAACAAGAACAGCAACAACAAGAACAGCAACAACAAGAACAGCAACAACAAGAACAGCAACAACAAGAACAGCAACAACAAGAACAGCAACAACAAGAACAACAAGAACACCTGAACTGCGGTGACCACCAAGACTCGGAATGCTCGTGGATGCTGAAAAGGACAGGCATGTACAAGAGTCCCAGATGACCGTTGCACTACTGTCCGTTTATCCATTCATCCAGGTGGATCGAGCAACACTTAATCAACCCAAACCAAACAGAATCATCCATCTATCCAGGGAGACACTGGCTAAACCCCCTGCGTCCAGCTCTCCCTCGTCCTCCTCTTCCATCCTCTGTCGTTTTTCTTCCAACGGTGATAGTATACCAGTGATTCGCGTGGGGGTGCGTCTCTGACTCTGCTCATGCGCCACGCCGCGTGACGAATTGGAGATCCAGCTCGCACAAGTACACAATTATTGTGGGTATTGTAGGTCCACGAGGACTGACGTAGATCTATAATAGGGAAGGACGGAGGAGTCGATCTCTCGAAGGTCTCGAGCAAGCAGCAGCAGCAACAGCAAGCACAAGCACAAGCATAAGCACAAGTACAGGCACAGGCACCACCAGCAGATGTAACAGGCGCAACAACAGTACCGACAAGAACAGCGATGCCATCGCTTTCACGGCCGCCGCCGACCTCTCAACCAAGTTTACAACCTCCACCTCAATGTTACCACCTGGCCAGAGAAGTGACCTAAAAGAGGGGTAGGGGAGTAGGCCATGAAGGGCCAAGAGATAAAACATATAAAAATACTACGAAGCGGCTAGGCTTAAAAGAGGTACTAGACTAAGTACTCTACGGTAGACTATAATAGAGTAGTATAGAGTACTATAAAGTAATAATAAATTCCCTTCTTATATAGTTAAGATAACTTTTATAGTTCTTCTACGTAGTCAACTTCGTTTATAAATAATCGAGTTCCTTTAGTTATACACTTTACGTATAGTTCTATATACTATACTCTTAATTTCGTCTCTACTACTTTATTCTACTAATATATTACTAAGTAAACTACTTAAGTTTACTACTAATACCTTACGTATAAAGCGACTTATAATAAGTAGAAATACTCTTAAAGAAACGAGATATACTTATATTATTAATAAAAAAAGAGATCTATATAATATTTATTAATAGTAATAGTGGAGATAATTATCTAAATTAATTATATATTATTTAAGATATCGTAAACGATTAAATTAACGAAGACTTTATAGTAAAAGACTTCTTATATCTTAATCTTAAGAACTATTTAATAAAGAACGAATATTAATATATTTATAACGTTAACTTCGATCTTAAAATTATCCTAATAATAAAGATAAGAGTCTTTAACGTTATAAAAGAGTACTAACGTAAAGTATATTAGTAGATTAATAAAGGTATATATATTAACTAAAAAACTTATTAATAATAACTTAAGAAGACGAGAAAGTTATAATAATAATTAAAAGATTAGAGAGCCTCAAAAGGTAAGAAAGATAACTATATTAGGAAATAACTACGTAACTCCTATAGTATTCGGAGGACTCGGAGGATTACCTAAATAGGTAATGAATAGACTCATTATAGGATCGAACCGATAGGTATTAACTATTTAACTATAGAAGACTTAGTAAAACTTAACTATCTAAGAGAGGGGAGAGGAGTGTCCTTATATAGACAGCGAGTGGCGATAGTTAGAAGATAAACGAAACCCATCGAATCGCTATTAGTAAGCGATGATGTAAGTGGCTACACTACCTAGTTATCTTACCTAGCTAAGCCACCTAGCCACGTGATCAAGTCACGTGCCTAGCGCTAAGCCTAGTTAGGTAAGAGACCTAGATAGCGATATTCCACAATTTCTAATATATTAATATTTTTCCTTATTTAAATAGAATTTCGTAATTTTATAACTTATATTATAATAAAATAATTATATCTTATCTTTCCTTTATAAGAATCTTAAAGTCTTTATATTTAGCTAGTAAC